AGGTAAATTATATATACCAGCCATGCCTTAGCAATTTCGTCCCCAACCAATTCCAAGGACACCTTTCATGTGACTTCAAATTGCAACAGTGCAGAGAAGGGTGCAGATTCGACTACTAATTAATTTTTTTAATTCTTTTTTATTAATTTTATTTTGCGTTCGTGCTGATAACGTGTTATAAAAAGAGAGAATAAGAGAAATTAATAGACTTGTGTGTATTATAATGAGAACCAAAACCCTATATTTTTAGGGAAGGAATAGAGATACATATCGTAATTATATTTAGGGTTGTAGGGGTACAAGTGTCATTCACACTAAACCCTAATTTACTTTCTTTTTACAACAGAAGACGTCTTATATATCATAGAGAACATCTATAAATTAGAAAGTAAAAAATTGTATGCACTCCAACAATGATCTCTATATTGGTTCTTCATTTTGCTTTTTTCAAAAACATTTATTGATTTCTTTTCATATTTTATTTAACATTAGCTTTTACATGTCAATGTATAATCAATTTAAATGTCTTTTGAATAGTTTAAGAAGTGGAGTATTGAAGACTTATCAAGTCCTTCTTTAGTATTGATTTAAATAAGATTTTAATCTAAATCAAATAATCAATATTAATCACATATTTTACAGGTCTCACAACTTTTTAATTACACATTTCAAAAACTTTTATTGAAATCTACTGAAAATCTAATTTTAATCCCCACCAAACAAGGGCTAAATGTAATCATTGTGCATTAAGAGTAGAAAGTGAGTTTGGCTATCTTATATTATCTTCAATTGACTTTTTAAACACAAGATACTTTTCATTTTAAAGAGTTAATCCTTAAAATTATGTTTTAATAGACTTTTTAAATTAACATTTTAATTTAAAAAGTGAGTTTTACTCTCGACATTTGGAGAGACAAATCCACTCTCTATAATTAAATGCATTCGAACTATTTTAATTTTAATGGAGTGAAATAATATAATGATGTGGAAGGCTTGTGAAATTATAAGATACAAAAAAATAATAAATATTTTTTTAGAAAAGTAAAATTAAGTGTTAAATATAAATGCTCTCTAAATTGTAAAATGTGCCCTTTAAAAATAAAGAGTCTCTTTGACATACTCTAAATTTGGAGAGTCAAACTCACTCTCCATTTTAAAAAATTAAAATGGAGAGCCTCTTGAATCTTACTTTTAAGCATTAAATATTTAAAATAAAGAGTATTTGTATTTAGACAATATTTTAGAAATGCTCTTAGAAATGGCAATAAATAACTCATTCTAGTTTATACTAGTCAATAACTTGGGGTTTGTGATAATTTGTAAAGTACATATGCTTGTGACAAGTAAGATGTGATGAAAAATCCACGGTCATTGAATTAAATTAAATTAATCTATATATCCATCCTACCTCCATCTACGCCCACCAAATTTCAATCCCAAACCAATCTCTCTCTCGCTCGCTCCCTACCTCCCTCCCCTTTTTCTCTTTGCCACACACCCTTACTAGAAGCAACATTGGCGCGACGCTCACGCTACTGCCACGATGGCTTGGCTCTGAGAGCAACGAACTATAGTGAAGTGGCGCTTACGTAATGTTTGACTGCAGTGGCATAGCTTGATGCCGCTGTTATTACGATGACCGCCAGAAGGAAGACTACCACTGTACCATCCATACCTTCTCTCTCTTTATCACAAGGAAGATTAGCGCTGAAGACCACTAAAGAGCTACTGTGCGAGACGCCAGTGAGCACAGCGCTGTGAGGTGGTTTTCTTCATCTAATTTGAATTGATTCACAATTGCTTGGACCATTACTATCAAATTTTTGTGTGACGAAACAACCCATTTGCTCAATCTAGTGGTGCTGGAAGAATATGCTAGATTGGCAATGGGCTGCGGCACTTGTAGGCCGCGATGCTGTGCCACATCTGCCATAATATTTTTGTGGTAGTTTCTTCCTCCAATCTGCTGCTTTATTGAAGTTTTGGGGTATTTTTGTTAGTGTTATGCAAACGGTGGTGGTGATGTTGCAAATTTTGGATCTTGTTTTGTGGTGCTTGTGCAGTGATTTTGTTGGTGGTAGTCGTTTGGGCGATGGTGGTTTTATGGTTGTGGTGATCGTGCGACGTCTTTAATAATTTTAGATTTGATATTTTGGTGGTGGTTGGGTTGTGAAGTTGGCTGTGGCGGTGATATTGTTGGTGCTTGTGAGGTGCTTGTGGTTGTATAATGTATGTGGTGGTCGTGGTGGCGATCATGGCTGTGGTCATGGGGTGGCATGGGATGGGATGGGGTGTTTTTGACCACTTATTTGATTGACTGTGACCAATAAATTGGTTAAATTGTAACCAAAAAATATTATGTGACCTAAAAAATGTGATCGTGACTCACAAGAAATAACTTGTGATCAATTACTTTAACATTTTTTACCGTAAAATAAGTTGTGACTTATAAATTCTGTGATTTGTTGCTTAGAAATAATTTTTGATCAATTAATTCGACAATTTGTGACCAAATTGTGAAGAATTGTAACTTTAATATATTTAATTATTAATTATTTCATAAATAAATTTTAATTAATATCTGGTTTTTGATGTTTTAAACCTTGTTATGTAGTTTTGAAATATGTCATAATTAATCTCTTAGTTATGAATTTTTCCCACCTATTTATTTAAAATCGAAATTACGCCAAGTCAGGTATTTAAAAATTATAATTAAAAAAAAAAAGATATAAAGTTTACTTATTCATAAATCAGATGATAATTCAACTATTAATATCAATAATATAAAATATTCACATCACCTAATTATATCCAACCTACCAAATTTAATCAAAACCTTAAAACATTTTCCTTCACTCTCTTCTTCTCCCCTCTTCCTACATCTCTCACACAACCGGCTGATTACCTCTCTATTTTTTCCACCATCGAAGATCGCCACCCGAAGATCAAGCCGAGCAGCACTCATAGTGATGCCGACATCGCTGCGCGTGGCGCTACTTCACAGCGTCGCTACGATGACACCGTGTGCATGTGACAGTGCCAGCTAAATAGCATCACGATGCTGCCTTGCTGAAGCTCCACTACACATTGCAACACTACTTTTCAGCCGTCGACGCTGGTGTTGACAGCAGCACCAAGAGCGCTAGTGTCCAGCTGCTGCGAACTGTAGAGTTGCTTGGCGTTGTTAACGATAGAGTTGCCCGACGCTACAAACTGTAGAATAGCCCAACAGCGTTGCCCGATGACAACAAAGTGACGGTGATGCCGGCGATCATAGAGAAAAATGGAAAAATTAAGGTTTGGGTAATGATTTGGGGATGGGGGCATCTAGTGTAATTTTTGAAATTATAGGCCTCTGCTTGCAATTTCAAATTGGGAGTCAGTTTACAAATGACGACCATAGTGGTTGTGGTGGTACATTAGGTGGTGGTGGTGAAGAGCGCCTGTGACCAATATTTGAGTAATTGTGACCTATAAATTTGTTAATTTATGATGGTTATGTTGTTGGCTGTGATGGTGAAGGGGTGGTCGTGGTAGTGGTGAGGTGGTAGTAGGTGGAATGGCGTGGGTTAGGGTTTGTGAACAATTATTTAATTGATTAATTTGTGACACAGAAATGCTATATGACAAATTATTTCAGATTGTGACCAATAAATTTGATATTTTGTGACGAATGTGACTGATAATTTGTGATCGATAAATAATGTGTAATGTAAAAATTTGAGTCGTGATTTATAAAATTTACAACTTGCGATCAATGAATAAATTATGACATATAAATTTTTTGATTTGTGACCAATTAATTCAGTAATTTGTGACCAAATTGTGTTGTGATTTTAATATATTTAATTAATAAAATATATATTTAATTAATTATTTCATAAATAAATTTTAATAATATCTGATTTTTGAAATTTTAGAACTCATTTCTTAGTTTTGAAATGGATTATTTTCCTATTGAAATTATTGGCTATGATTTATTGTACTGTTTTTTCAAAATTTTTTTTTTTTGGTGGAAGTTTGGAATAAACATCTATAGTTTGCTTAATTGGAACTCCATGTTTTTTTTGAAGTGTTTATGTATGCATTTTTCATGGATCAAATTGCTCCACTGGGGTGATTGACAAAAAAATCTTAGAAATGAATAAGTTTCTTGATGTTTAGCTCTTGAAAATTGGTTATCTCCAATTGTAGCCAAAGTTACCTACGCACTAGCTCCCATTTCTTGATGTGCAGTGCATCATATTTATTATCATAATTATTATTATCATAATTATAATAATAAACGAGGGTTAATAAAAAATTGGTGCATTTCCCACCTCATATCGTCCCACTCTGTCCTTGCATAAGTGGAGATGGAGGTGGGGATGGGACACGAAAATCTTTGGCAGGACACCTCGTTGTCATTTCTAGGCTAACTCATGATATAACTTATATCGAATCAAGTCATGCTTGAAACAAGAGGTGGGTATTTTTATCCAAAATTATCCGAACAAAACCAAATCAAAGTAAACCAGTCGGCTTGGTTAATTAGTTAAAATTTTAATGATTCTAATTATTAAAATCAAGATCCGAATGTTCTGGGCCGATTCTCAATTCTATTGAATTCTCATTCAATTCTTACACTAATTTTATTAAAAATATAATCAACGTATTTGTCACTTAAAACATAATAACGTACAAGTTAAACAAGAAAATTTAGATCGACTTATCATACCCACTCGAACGTCCAACTTCCGGAACTTGGACCCGAACGAAACGGTCAATAACAACGGTGGATCCTCTTATAAATCCAATCATCGGACACGCACACGGGTTTGAGAGAAGAAAATTAGAAAAGAAATGGACATGTCATCAACACCAGAGGTTTGAACTTTTAACTCCCGAAGACCCCCCGAATCTCAAGAATCTGCAACCCCTTTTCCCCAATTCACAAACCCTAAATTATACGTACAGCATCTCCTGTATCTACATATTTTCTCGTACCCAAACCCTTAACGATGGCTGCGACAACGGAAGGACAGGATAAGGTATTGGCCACGGCGCAGCGCATCGTACAGAGCCTCCATAACACTTCCGACACCGACGACATGCTTCTTATCCTCTCGGCGTTTGATAACCGTCTCTCCACGCTATCCTCCTTTGTATCGTCGGATGACCATTCGTCGGGTGCCCAGAAGTCTGCCTCCGCCGTGGACCCCCGCTTCGAGGCCGCCGAGCAGATCATATTAAACGAGGCCAATTCGTCTGCTTTAACAGATGATTACTTGGCTGCGGTTGATGAGTTGATTCAATCGACCGAGGAATTGAATTTGAACTATCGAGATGGGGCGACTGATGCCAGATGTGACATCATGGACCGGGCGGAGAACGCGCTTCAGGTGGCAATGATGCGCCTGGAGGATGAGTTCGGGCACATTCTCATCCGAAACACTGTGCCCCTAGACCCGGAGCGGCTCCACCGCTCCTCTCATTCCTCGTCGACCATAGCCATTGCCGCCTCTGATATTTTTGATGATGATGCGAGGGAAAGCCTGGATAGTATCAGTTGTGGGCGGTACAGCCACCGCCGCCGCGGACAGGGCATGAGTTTTGGGGGAGACGATGTGCCCCTTGATTTGATACACCAGGATGCAGTAATTGATTTGAGACAGATCGCAGATCGCATGATCCAATCGGGGTATGAAAAGGAATGCTGCCAGGTGTATTGTAGTATCCGCCGTGATGTTCTTGATGAATGTTTGCTGATTCTTGGGGTTGAAAAATTGAGCATTGAGGAGGTCCAGAGGGTTGAGTGGCGTTTGCTGGATGATAAAATGAAGAAATGGATTCAAGCAGTTAAAATAATTGTTCGAAGACTTTTGCCGAGTGAAAAAGACCTCTGCGAGCGCATATTTGTTGGGTCTGATTTGATCAAGGAAGTTTGCTTTTTGGAGACAGCAAAGGGCTGCGTAATGCAGTTGTTGAATTTTGGAGAGGCTATTGCTGTTGGGAGGAGGTCCTCAGAGAAACTGTTTAGGATTCTTGATATGTATGATGCATTGGCAGGGGTTTTGCCAGACTTGCAATCGCTATTTATGGACGAAGAGGCAGGTGATATGGTATGTAGCGAGGCCAAAGGAGTATTGGATGGTTTGGGTGAGGCTGCCATTGGGACTTTCATTGAGTTTGAGAATGCAGTTCAGACTGAGTCTTCTAGGAAGACATTGCAGAATGGTGAAATTCACCCACTCACTCGATATGTTATGAATTATGTGAAGTTGCTAGTGGATTATAGTGATACTCTCAATGCACTTTTGGAGAATGCAGAAGACAATGCAGAGGATGAGTTAAGAGGGGTGGAGAGTGGAAACAGTGACAATTCAGAGATGAAAAGCATGTCCCTGATAGGTATGCGCCTGTTGGCATTGATTAAATCTTTGGAATCAAATCTTGAAGAGAAATCGAGAATGTATGAGGATACGGCAATGCAGTATATATTTTTAATGAATAATATACTGTATATCGTACAGAAAGTGAAAGACTCAGAGCTCCAAAACCTTTTGGGAGATAACTGGATTAAAAAGCGACGGGGCCAGATTCGACAGTATGCTACACAATATCTTAGGGCATCATGGAGCAATGCCTTATCTTGTTTGAAGGATGTAGGAATTGTGGGGAGTTCAAGTAATGCATCAAAGGCGGCTTTGAAGGAAAGATTCAAAAATTTTAATGCTTGTTTTGAAGATATATATAAGACTCAGACAGCTTGGAAGGTCCCAGATCCTCAGCTTCGTGAAGAGCTCCGGATATCCATTTCGGAAAAGGTGTTACCTGCTTATCGCGCTTTTGTGGGTAGGTTTGGCAGCCATCTGGAAAGTGGGAGGAATGCTGGTAGGTACATAAAATACAATCCAGACGATTTAGAGAATTATTTGTTGGATCTATTTGAGGGAACACCCCTTATTCTGCACCATATGAGACGAAAAAGTACATAGAATGCAAGACCAGAAACAGGTATGCTTACCGCCCTGGTCAACAAGTAGTTGCACTCCCTACATTCAGCTTGGTCATGTACTTGTTGGTTTGGATGTGTTGAACAAATTATTGTGAAAGATGTCTACCCTTCTCATTATACTGTAATAATTCTGTACATGTATTGTGTTTTATGTGTTGGACCTAAATTTTGTTTCATGTATTTGTAAAACATGAATCATATTTAGAATTGGAAGATATCTTGGCCACAATGGCTTAGTATGTCAATGGTCAAATACCTTGCAGCATTTAGGTCTTGAATTTTGGATATGCTACTTGATATGATTGCTTACGTTGAAGAGTAAAAGGTAAAATGAAATGGGAGAGAGGGAGTGAGGATTGGAAGCTACCTGTGGCAGATGTATACTGTCCTCCAAACTGAGTTTTGCCTTGTAAATGATTTTTCTTCTTTGTAGTACTCGTCTATTTTGGGTTTTCTATGCAATCTCACTTGTTTGGTTATGGAACTTGATAGTGAATGTGGTGAACCAATTATGAGCGAAGACCAAGTTATATGTCACTTTTGTTTGCTGCCTTTAAACGTGCCATAAATTATTCATAAAGGCATATCATTCGGGATATTATTTCAATGAGTAATCAGCTTAGCTAGGCAGGTATTCCTGGATAGGTGGCTTACTGTGTCTGATTATGTGACATGATGATATGGTATATCATAGAACCTGGTTTGAGTGTGGCTGGTAATTGATTAATTAAGGGACCTTATTATAACCTTATCTATAATAGGGTCGCCATCTTTTGGGGTAGATTACGAACATACTGCCTTCAAAATGTCTAGAATGTTAAAAAATTCAAATGTGAAACACAAGAAGCAGCTTAACTGATGATTGCTTCGGGCTTTAGAATTCGATAATGTGGATTTAAACTTAACGGACCGTTTATCTAGATGAAGACAAATATTGTTGGGGGCATTCTCTTTGTTATTAATAGTCCACTCCATGTCTCCAAGGTCTGAAATCCCAAGTGAGCTTACACTCTTCAAGCATTCAGTTATATAACAGCAATGAGTTTCCCCAAGGTTCTTCATCTAACTTTTCCAATCTCAACTATCCTCATAAACCAACAACCGTTAGATCATCTACATTTGCAACCTCAAATAGGGACTTCATGTTCGTATCTCCTGACGATGAGTCAGGACCAACAAACAAGAGTACCCTTGATGTCACTTCCAATTTGTCGCCTGCTTTGATCTGTAAAACTTCAGACTGCATCAACTTTGAAGGACCACAACATCAGTTCAATACATGTTCTAATATTTTATGAACCATTGCTCTGTAAGTAAGAATCATGTCAGACACGGGATAGACAGTGTTTTAACCATAATTTTTATCCCAGCTCAACTGGGGTTGTCAAGTACTTGCCATTGTACCAATTTACTATGAAGGAAGCAGAAAGCGTAGGTCCATTAAGAGTGATTTGATCATCGAACAGGTTGCAATAACTAGAGGTATACCAAAATTAGTCCCCGTTTGGCCCTCATTAAAATTATAATATATTTTTCTTTGAATTTTTATCAATCACACATTTTTCAAAAATAATATTACACGTAAATCAAAATTTTTTTTCCTTTCTAACCACATATTCTTAAAAAAAAAAGCTATTCTAAAAATTATAATCTCCAATAATGGAGTTTAATATGGTATGTTATGATTGCAAATTTTCTGGTGGTATTAGATCTTCCAACACATGTATTAATGAGCTGAAATGAAAAAGGATTCATGTGGCATGCCCCAAATTCATGAGGAATAATGTTCTCTCCAAATCTACCAATGAGATACACAAAAAACATTGCGGACCATCATACTTGCGAGCGAACCATTGATGAACTCATCAGATTAACCAACCAAAGTTAGCTTTCGTTATTATGAATTGAACAGAGGCAAAAGCCTCAATGACGGTTAGATATCAATAAAAAGTCATATAAAAGTCTCTATTAACTTGTACATAAAACAAGTAAGCGTAATCTTCAACAAAAAGTTATTTTTGCATGAGGAACGTATTTTTTGACTATATCATCTGCAATCACCATCGAGAAGTACAAAGATTTTTTTTTTTAAAAAAATGCTTAGTTTATTGTTGATGTCTCTCACTTACAGATACAGTTATACACAATGCGCGTTAACCTCATTTCAGACACCATCTTTCACTCCTTTGTCACTCAATTTTTCAAGTTTCCAGTTGTGTCTTCCGATTTTTTTGGATCTGTTTGGCAATCATGTTTGCTTTTGTAGAATGGATTCTTATGCTATGCAACTCCATTTAGACTTGGTTATCTATTTTTGTATTTTGAATGCTTAGACAAACACAAAGCAACTTGCATGCCCCCGTTGTCTTCTTAGCTTTTCATAGCAAATGTTTTCTACTCTGACAAACAATTTTGCCTAGTCTAACCAACAGACTCAATGTGCAACCAGGTAGATGCAGTCAGTTCTAAATAATTATCAACATTTGCCATAAAAAAAAAAACTCAAATTTCAGGACAGAAAACTCAGTCAAGAAGTCTGTTCATTATTTGACAGTCAAGAGAATGCTGGATAGAGATGATGTGTACAAGAAACACAAAGAAAGACCAGAAAGTAGCCAAATTAATGACTACAATGACAATCTTGTTAATAAAAACTCCATTAGAAAAACAAACCAGTTCCAGTTAGACCCTACTGTTGGCAGGCAGGGGCAGAACACCATCGAAAAAGTCACCAAAATATCCACGGGGTTCGTGTACTAGCTTCGAGATTATATCTCTTAGTGTAATCACCCCCTCTAGATCACCAGTCTCATCCACTACATAAATCCGGTGGATCTTCATCGAATCAAGTTTCACAATAACTTCTTTCAGCGTCTCATCTCTTCGGCATGTAACCATGCCACTCAACAATGGTGACTCTTTTTGATGCTCCTCTAGATAGCGTCTAATTGCTGTCAGGAAGTTCTTTGCAGTGATAGACCTGAATTAACATGCCAAATGAGTGCATCAAAACTCCCGATTATCTACTCACGAATCATGATTAAGAACAATGCCCCCATAATTATAATGAGACTAAGTGAGAAATAAGAACTGCATAACCCACTTAAGGTGCAATGTGAATTGGCGGCCTTAATTCAGATACAAATATTGCACACCTCTCCATAGTTTTTGAGTCCTCAGAAGTCCAGGAATTTTAAGTTCGAGGCGGAACTGAACATTATGCCCTTCTCAAATAAAAGAGAGAAAAATTATGAACCTGTATTCATTGTAGATTTCAGGAGCAACAAGAAGGAACTGGATATCTCTGATGCTTATATTACCAATTGCCTTGTTTCCACCACTTTGAACCACTGGTAATCCTCCAACTCCCTTTTGTCTCATTAGTTTAAATGCTTGCAGCACAGGTTCATCCTCACACACCTGAAGAAAATAAAGAAACATAAGTAAAACTCTGAGAATCCCAAGTAAACTAGAATATGTATTTGAGATGTAGATATTTGCAGATATCTGCTCAAACTACAGAAATAGAGGAACTAAGCACAATGTTAGTTGTCCACTACTCAATATTCAAATGGAGGCTCACAATTACAGATCTATTGATGTTAAAGAACCCTGGTATTCTGATTTACGCAGCTTATTGAAGACCAAAAGATGCAGGTAAAGCCTATGTTTGGCTCATGTTTATAAACTGGTTATTAACACTCAAGCCAGTTTTTACCCACACGTTTTGAGGGACCTACCTATGCTATCTACTTATTCACCACTCACTTCTATCTATTTTTAAACACTTCCCAAACATATTCTAAGTACAATTCAGACGAAGGCCTTATACATATTTACAAATTTAAGAGAAATTCTGTTATTCTGTTGTTACACAAATTGGTTTACACAGAGAAAAGAAGTTACAATCTTGATCGTTAGACTATCGAGTCTTGTCCAGTAATGTGTACCAACATGCATTTAAGGTTTTGGACAGCTATCCTGATTAAACTGAATAACAAACACTATACCTGTAAAATCATCATTTGAGCAAACAAAGGAATAGAATTTAAGCCTCAAATGCCAGCCAAATCGATGCAATTTCTTCCCACCCAATCCCCCCCAAACAGCACCAGAGAGCGAGGGGGAGAAACAAAATCACATGGAAAGAAATACAAACAGAGAGTATATTCAGACTGATTTAAGCAGAAGAGAATTCTGACTTAATACAAAACGCAGAGGTCCTTCATATACAGTTAACTATGAACATATAATGGAGATACGACACATTACATCCATTCAAGATCATGTCAAGCTATGGAATCGATCCACATTGGTTTATATTATATTTACGCACCTTAATAATCTGACTAGATTTTATTAGCGGCAGACCAAGTTCAAATAGTTTTTTCGATCCCCAGCTTTCAAACCAATGAAGTCCAGAACATTCTTCCAACATGTGAATAACAGCGGATTGTGTGATGATGTTGTCAATCTTTGCTTCCCCTAAATCAACCACAGGAACACTCTTCATTCTGTATTTTGATAGCAGCAGGAGCATCGTCAAAAAAGAGTTGGATTTCTGCAACGCGAGAAATGGAGCCCAGCGAAAAGATCCCGAGATATCCCCAACCTGTTTATTCATCAATTAAAGCAAAGAATTAACTTCGGATAAAAGACTGGAAGATTGAAAGGAGAAAGGTCATTTCAAGAACATGAGAAATATTGAAATTATGAAGTTGGAGCCGGAAGTAGAATGAGCAACCTTTGTCTCCTTATAGAAGTCGGAAGAAGTAAGAATCTCGAAAAATTTTCCACAAGTTGCTGTAGGAGAGTCAGGGTGTATACTTTTAAACCTTGGTGAAGACATTCCATTACTTGCCGCTGCAACAGCAGGACCAAAATCATTATCTGAATTATTCATTGCCAAATCGAAGAAATCGCCACCTTCCATCTTTTCTGACTGCCAAAAAAAAAAAATAAAATGTAACTTCTTTTCAG